ATATTATAACTATTATATATCATCTATATATTATAACTATTATATATCATCTATATATGATAACTATTATATATCATCTATCTAGTATAACTATTATATATCATCTACATATTATAACTATATATCATCATCATATACATCATATATAGTTTATTAGCTACAGTTACTCTATCACTTATAGTTCACTAGCTATTACTTTGGATTTTCATGGTGGTGTCATGAGAGCATCCATCGACATACAATAGAGAGTAACTATATATCATCTATATATTATAACTATTATATATCATCTCTATAGTATAACTATTATATATCATCTACATAAAATTATTATAACTATATATCATCATCATATATAGTTTATTAGCTACAGTTACTCGATCCCTTATAGTTCACTAGCTATTACTTCGGATTTCCGTGCTGGCGTCACGACAGCGTACGTAACACGTAACGACCGAGGGGGGGGGGGCTGGTGAGATAATTGAGATTATAATGAGCTAATTCTCCGCGGTGCTAACAGAAGCATCCTCTTCGCTCATGCTGTTTCAGTGGCGAGGTTTCACGGCGAGCACCGGACGTACGACGGCAGGAAGAATCGCTGCATCGCCTGCGAGTGCGCGTGGGCCGGCCGCCACGCGTGGTACCAGTGCCTCGGCTGCCCCGCCTGGCTTTGCTCCAAGTGTTCGGGCGGTGCGCGCCGGTCCTGCGACTGGCACTGAGTCACGGACGGACGGGGACCCCTGAAGGAATACACCGGGATTCCTGGAGGAGTAGACGGGTATACCTGTAGGAATACACCGGGATTCCTGTAAGAGTAGATGGGGAATTCCTGTAGAAATATACAAGGAATTCCTGTTGAAGTGCATACAGGCATAGGAAATCTTGTGGAAGTACACAGATTTCTGCAGGACTACACAGCAATACCTGTATTAGATGAGCTGTAGAATGAATTGCTGTAGGAATACATAGGGATTCCTGTACAAATACATGGGATTACAGGACTGCAGGCATACAGAGAAATTCCTTATACTGTCCCTCGTCGTGGGCGTGGGGCAAGGTGGCGCCTTGATACGAACTCGCCAAAACGTGCTTAGAATCCACTTTTTTTGTCGCGATACGATTATAACTTCCTCTGATCAGCTCCACTAATAGACCTCTGCTAAGAATCTGGGTTTGACAGGGAAAAACGAGACGAAATCTCAAGCAGTCTCAGACGTTTGTTATACAGACACATGGAGATGTACATATGAGATAGGATGTAGTAATATGTACGTTGTAGTGAGAGTACGTATGAGCTAAGTGTGGTTCAAGTATCGATTCTCTAATGCCCAGTTTTGTTCATTGCCATACTGAATCTAGCTAGTAAGTGTTGTCACGTTTTTTTTACAGAAGTACAGAACGTGGTACACCACCTGCTTGGTGTATATCCAGATCATGTGTGATGTTATTATATTATGCTTACATTATACATATGCAGCTCAGTACGTCATTTTTTACTACTGAATTAAAACTGGCTGTATAAAACGAACTGTTTATAGCATCTGTACATGTGGGCGTATGTATATACGTAAATTACATATACTTCTACCTAGTATATATATACATATACCTATGTAAGGATGTATATCGGACGTACACTATACCAGGCATTGTATTGAAAGTATCACGTAATGTGTATATTGGCGTGTATGTTGTCAATGAAACGGCAAATATTTATTAACTGATAATAAACTCAAGCCAACCATCGATAAAAATACGTTGTGAAAATTTCCATAAGAATTATTGACTTCTGTAATTTTGGCCAAACTGATCATGAAGGCTACACTACAGAAAGACGACACGCATAAAACAGTGAAAGTTGATCGCAAATGTTGGTCTTTAATGTTGCGCGTACATTATGCACATAACACATGTCTCGGGGAGAAATAATGATCATCCTGATCTCATAATGCAAAATATGTCGGCCACGATCACGAGCAATGCAAGAGGCAACTGCGCTCCCTAGACGCTCAATTTGGAAATTTATCCGACTCAAATTAAGACTGCATTTGTTTTCTTGGGCCCAGGATTTGAACCGCAATCTCCAAGTGCTAGGGCCGAGCCTATGCCACTCCTATAAGTATAATTCGGTATATGGGGTAATGTTCGGTATAAGTATAAACGGGTCGGTTACGGACCTGTTACAGGGATCACGTCTCAAAATCTCACGAAAAAAACCTAAAAAAATAACGCAACGGAAGCAAATCGTTTGACCAACGACGCGAGAAATCACCGAGTAAAGCTTGACTAGCAACCCACAGACACTCCCCTTCACAACTCGCACACAGCCGAGATATTCCGACTTTGATATGATATCGTAACCACAGTCGGAAGAATTTTTTGGCTGCCGTCGACAAACGCTGGCATTGATTACGATTGACGACATCTCTCTCGTTAGCACGATCCTCTCGTTAACACGAAGAGAGACCGCGAATTAACGAGGGAGCGCGTTCAGCACCTCTGAGGGGATGGAAATTCGGTTTTCCCCACGTTCACTGTTTGTATAAAGTTTCTCGCTAGATACTATGGCTCCTCGCTGTCTCTCTCTCTGTGATAAAACTCAAGCTGAATATATATATATATGTATATACTGCACGATTCCCACAGAGAATTCTGCATGCAGAAACATCAAAAACACTCAGATATCGGCACCTCGAGATATATATATATATATACATACATGCATACGTACATATACACACTTATAAAATTACACGATACACACGCAACAGCGTTGTAAGCGTCTACGAATCGTACCGGCGGAGACGCGCGCAATCCAACACACGCGACGCGAAGGCAAATTAGCAGCGGCTATGAGGGACGAACGTTAAGGGCAGCCTCTCGCCACGACACCCACGCGCACGATTACGTACAAAGCCATCGAAACACACTCGCACTGCCATTACAAAAACGCACGACGAGAAAAGCACGACGACGCGATACGAAACACGCATAGATAGAACACTTAGCAGCACCCTTCTGATATATAAATTACGTATAAGCTACTCACGAGGGAAATCTCTTCACCTGGCAAACGCCGGGGGCGCAAATGCGGGGAGCACGGTGCCAGGAACTAATCAAATCTCATCGTTTTTTCTTATCGTTTAAAAACACGCTTTCGTCGTACGAACACCAGCGTCATCGAAACGGGGGGGGGGATGACGTTTGAGGGTCTTAAACGCTCACGTGACGCCCCCACCCACTCCCGGCCTGATCGATCGCCATCGATCGCCATCGATCACTTGAAGAAGTATCTGATTGGCGGGCCTGCAACCTCGCGACGCGTGGCATCGTCCTCCAGGGAGACGGTCAGGTCGACGTAACTCTGTCCCGCCGGAATCCGCATCAGCTTCAGCATCCTTGAATTCAATCATCATAATGATAAATTATCATCGTTAATTCATCAATTTAATCATTCATCAGCTTCATCGCTGGTGAAGCAACGACAAGTCTCACACCCGCACACGCGAGAGCCAGAAGGGGAGCGTGAAGAAAAAAACAACTAACTTTTGGTTACTTGTTGGTCCCCGAGCTTTTTCTCGTTCACTATAACCACACTATACACGTTATAATTCGAAATTTTTTTATTATACACTATGTTATTATAAATTTATGAATGTACTTTTTAAAAATATTTATATATATATATTTAAATTGGTGGGGATAATAGATATAATCGATAGTCATTACTAATACTATAGACACTCCTGAGTAGGCTGGGGGCAGATTTGCGCCAGTAGCACTAAACGCTCTACTAGACGGGGGACCAACCGGATCCACGTGCCCTCCCACCATCAAATCTGTCCACGGAGAGAGAGAGCGAGAGAGGGATAGAAAGAGAGAGAGGGATAGAAAGAGAGAGAGAGATCGAAAGAGACAGAGAGAGTGTGAGAGATAGAGAAAGAGACAGATAGAGCGAGAGAGGGATAGAAAGAGAAAGAGATAGTAAGAGACAGAGAGAGAGAGAGAGGGATAGAAAGAAATAGATAGATAGAAAGAGACACAGAGAGCGAGAGAGAGAGAGATAGAAAGAGAGAGAAAGAGATATAGAAAGAGACAGAGAGAGACAGAAGTATAAAGAGACAGAGATCGAGAAAGAGAGACAGAGACAGAGACAGAGAGAGCGCTCAATGCTAAGCAGCAGTGCGCTACTTATTGTATTTGATTACTTACGGCTGCGTGAGTCTCTTCTTGTGGCCGGGCATGATTGGAACGTAGACCATCTTCACTCCGTGAACAACCATCGTCACCGTCATGCCGTGCTCGTCCTGGAACATACAGCGAACAACGCGCCAAGATTACGTTCACAGATCAAGACATTACCGACATGCTTCACGTTCCCGCGAGGGGGTCTGGAGGGTGTGGGGAGGAGGAGGTCAGTCGGAATAAACCCGATCTCAGGGAAGGTTCAAGAACCCGATCAATGTTCCGGTCGTTCGGACCGCTCGCTCCGCGATCGGGACGGTGAAAGATAAGTCACAGCCAGGATCACGTAGGGATGCGATTCACATCGGAAATAAATTTGCAACGTTTCCTGATTCACGGCCAAGATCAACTTTCTAAAGAAATGCAGTTGGAAATACTTGATGGTGCAGCAGCAAGACGGACTAACGAGATAATAAATGCTAATTACAAACAGAGAGATGGGACCTGCGAGCATTCAGACCCGAAAACTCTCATGATCGCAATAAGTTGTGATAATAAATTAATACTAATTAAGTATATAATTAATTATATATAATTAATAACTAGAAAGGGCAGTTATCGCAACTACATGTATCCCCCGTGTTCTCCCCAAGATTTTATAATAGTATACAAGTTTGGTCGCGCTGAGGTCAATTAGGGGCCGAGTGTATAGAGCGAAGGGAATATGATGAAGGTCAAGGTCAAGTCAATGGTCAAATAAAGGTTGCAGTGACCTGGTTTCGATACGCAACACAACCTTCTCCCCAAGTAGTGTAAGTATAGCCAAGTTTGGTGCTGCTAGGTCAATTAGGGCCCGAGTTATAGAGCGAAGGAAAATATGATCAAGGTCAAGGTCAAATAAAAGCCGCAGTGACACACATTCTCCCCCAAGATGAGTAAGTATACCAGTTTGGGTAGTGCTAGGTCAATTAGGGGCCGAGTTAGAGAGCGGAAGGAAAATATATGATCAAGGTCAAGGTAAAGGTCAAATAAAGGTCGCAGTGACCTGGTTTTGGTACGCTGCTCACCCTTCTCTCCAAGATGTGTAAGTATACAAGTTGGTAGCGCTAGGTCAATTAGGGGCCGAGTTAGAGGAGCGAAGGAAAATTATGATCAAGGTCAAGGTAAAGGTCAAATAAAGGTCGCAGTGACCTGGTTTTGTACGCTGCGCCACCTTCTCCCTAAGATGTGTAAGTATACCAAGTTTGGTAGCGCTAGGTCAATTAGGGGCCGGAGTTAGAGAGGCTGAAGAAAAATATGATCAAGGTAAAGGTAAAAGGTCAAATAAAGGTCGCAGTGACCTGGTTGTGATACGCTGCTCACCTTCTCCCCAAGATGTGTAAGTATACCAAGTTTGGTAGCACTAGGTTAATTAGAGGCCGAGTTAGAGAGCGGAAGGGAAATTCTCTTGCGGGGACCGAGCGGCGGCGGCTGGGGAGACATGAAACCATAGTATCCCCGGCGACTTCGTCGCGGGAAATAAAATAACTAATATTAACAAGATAATTAATGCTAAATACTCTTTCATCTTCGTAAATGTCGTGTGGCGATGACGAAACTCTACTACTTACTCGCACGGCTTTTATGAAGTTGTTGAGAGTGAAGTCCTTGTGACCTTTTACTTCCCAGCGGTCCCACAGCGTTATGTGCACGCTGTCACTGCAAGCAACACACGACCACGTTAGCAAGAGAAACCCAACGAATCGTGATCGCGTTAGTTGAAGAAACCCAGCGAACTGGAGATCAATTTAGTAGAAGAAATCTAAGGCGGGGCATTTGTCTATCTATCGGCAGGAACATTCCCTTTACTTGCATTTAGATCGTGATCAAAGCGCTTACCACGCGCGACCTGGTACTATACCCGAGGCCAATATTAACCATGCATTTATCATCTTTATCCATCGTGGAAGCGCGAGAACACCCCGCTCGCTCCTCCCCTCTCCTCCCTCCACCTCCTCCAACCCTCCTCCCTGCTATCATCAAACACCGTCCTACCTGAGCTGCGTGCCACTGGCACGGGCGCCGGCTCAGCGACGACAATCACCGGAAGTGCGAGAACAAACCCTCTCCCACCACCCCTCCTCCCTCCCTGCTACCGCCACCCTCCACCCACCCCTCCCTCCTCCCTATCCCGTTATTCCATCGATCGATCCTACCTGAGCTGCGTGCACTGGCACCGGCGCCGGCTCCGCGACCACGATCACCGGAAGTGCGGAGAACAAACCCCCTCCCACCGCCCCTGCCTCCCTCCCTGCTACCACCACCCTCCCCCCACCCCTCCCTCCTCCTGCTATCTATCGATCGATCCTACCTGAGCTGCGTGCACTGGCACCGGCGCCGGCTCCGCGACCACGATCACCGGAAGTGCGAGAACAAACCCCCTCCCACCGCCCTCCTCCCTCCCTGCTACCACCACCGCCTCCACCCACCCCTCCCTCCCTCCTGCTATCTATCGATCGATCCTACCTGAGCTGCGTGCACTGGCACGGCGCCGGCTTAGCGACCACGATCACCGGAAGTGCGAGGTTGAGGAAGCGTTCTGTTGCGTCCCCCGCCGCCCCGCCCGCGGCCGGCGACGCTAGCGCCACCGTTGACGAGCTCGCAAGTCGCGCAGGGCCAGCGACGGAAGCCGTCGTCGTGGCGATGGCCGGCACAATGCGTCCGGCGATGCGTTTAGTCTCAGGCGGTCGGCTGGCTCGATGCGTACATGCACGCAGCGAAGGCTTCTGCGGCGAGATAACGCAGACGCACGCGCGCGTCAGAGGCGTTCAATAAACGCTACGAATCCGACCCCAGATTTGGAATTCCATACGGATTTGCAGTCCGATTTGGAATCCCGATTCGAATCGCTCTTCAGGCGGTCGACTGGCTCGATGCCGTACATGCACGCGCGCAAGTTCTCGGAGAGATAACGCGGGCGCACGGCGCGCGGGATCAGAGCGATCATCCGCTATGAAATTAGGTAGCAGTAATGGTGGTAGGTGGGATTTTCTGTCCGTGAGTGCGCCAATCGGCAAAAGGTTATTACCTTATAACGAAACTACTGCAACGAATTTCAAGAATATTCTTTATCATTTCGATTAATTCTACTGCAGAATCGACCTCGATGAAGTATATGGTATGTGTCAATATACGTCGCGGCGACGACGGCAGAAACATCACTGGGCCGACCAAGGGCGTGTTTGTTTGGGACAAATCCGTCTGATCGAGATCCATATGATCCTGATCCGACCAAACAAACGCAGCAGCTGTGATTGGCTGAGGCGCAGACCGCCATACTGGATCCCGTTCGAATCCGCCTCGCTAGCAGGGTGAGTTCGCGTGGATCGATATCAAGTGATCCGACCAAAAACAAACAGTCAGATCAGTCGCAATCCCATCGGAATCGAGATCAGTGGATCCGACCAACAAACGCGCCCCTCAAGTCTCAGCCGTCGTAGGGGGGGGGGATGAAGCGTGCACACGAAGGGTACAGATCTGGCTTAGTCTCTGTAAAAAAATGCAAAAAACCACTCTCTCTCTCGCATGCACGGCGATGTCGGCCCCGCCGTCTAGCCAACGGGTTTGACGAGTTTCTCGAAAGTGACGAATTTAACAAAAGCGCGTTCAAGGTGCGTCACCGCGGCCGCCGCCGCGAGAGTCATCAATCACGCACAAGTTTACGATAGAAACCACATATAAATACTATATCTCAATATACACTAAGTCTTGATTGTGAATTTATATGTAATAGGATCCCGAACATACAAATGTAAGTTAAGTATAAAGTTGTGTACCAAAGTATACCTACATATCAAATCGTACACAAGTTATGTAACATGTTTGTAACATACCTGGAAAAAAAGAAATTGTTCAAAAAAAATAATCACGCTCACGACTTCCGGCTCGACTCACTCACCGACACGGCCGTCATGAAGTCCACGTGTCCGTTGCTGTCGTCGTCCTTCTCGAAGGTCAACGGCTGCAGCGCAAGGTCGCCTGCGTCGCGGGAGAATAACGGATCGTGACGGTTACGGCGGTGCATCGCGCGCGAGCAGACGAATTACGCGGTGGCGCTACCGGCTTTCCTGCGTGTGGGGGGCGGGCGGAGGGGGGAGGTAACGTTAAGATTGATGTTGAGACTCAACGTTGTTTCCCCGATTCATTTCAGTAATTTTCGTTTCAGTTTTCTGGGAAATTAACCAACCCACTTGTACAATCTCCAGGTACGTCATCATAACGTTTTCGATGAATTGGTCTGAGACGCGCGTGCGTGAGACGGGCTAAGCTACACCTGTACAATCTTTAAGCTCATACATTATAACGATTTTTGACAAATCGCGACGCCAGGGCGCGTATGGCAGATTAACCTACACCTGTACCATCTCCCGGTACATGATCAGAACATATTCGACAAATCACGACGCCAGCGCGCGTGCAGCGGTTTAACCTACACCTGTACAATCTCCCGGATATGACCATAACGTATTCCACGAATCAGCGTGCGCGTGTGTGCGTTGTTGCCGTAGTTATCCGCGTCGTTGCCGTAGTTACCCGCGTCGTTGCCGTGGTTACCCGCGTCGTTGCCGTGGTTACCTGCGTCCAGCTGTCCGGCCTGTATGGCGTTCTGCAGCAGCGTCTCGACGGCCTGAAGATCGTCGATGCTTGCCACGTGGGGCTCGGCGGGACGCGTCACCGACTCGTCCGTCTCTATCGCCTGCAGAGACACGACGAACGGGGAGTTGGGAAACTAGTCAAGGCACCGATCGACGCAGCGAACAACGAATTATGTTACGCGCCGAACAATGGACTATATCATACTGTCTAACGGGTAGATTTTAGTATTACTACCTAGACGGCTAGATTTATTACTTTTCTGCCAACTAACCACCGTGATGGAAGATGGATTGAGAGCACGACACGCACTCATGAGGCCGTTGGGAGGACGCCAGACAGTCGTGGCGCGGCACCGTACGAGGGGGTGATGCGGAACGCAGACAAGTCGAGCGTGACGAGGAGGGTTGGGAGACGAGACGAGGCGCCGACGTGACGAGGGGGGTTGGGGAGTCGCGTCGTCACGCCGATTGGGTATTTCGGATACGAACGACTGTACCAGTCTGGTGCGATGATGGAGACGAATCTGATGAGGGCGCGCGACACAACATAACAAGTAACGCTTACCAACTTGCCCTCCATCAAACCCCCCTTGTTAAACAAGTCATTAAAGCGAGATGCACAAAAAGAGGGGGTGCGGTTACAAAGGTCACACAAAAGTTTCACGAGAAAGTGACCAAAAATCGACCGGGGGGTCAGAACGGACTTCAGATCGCACGTCGGAACCACGGGCGACGCGGTGATGAGGGAACACAGAAGAACCCCCCTCCCCGAGAACATTCGCGTGTTGTTCACGCCGGGCGACGCGGTGATGAGGGGACACATAAGAACCCTCACCCTTGCCGAGAGGGGTTGTCCGTCGTACTGACCTTGGACGACGGTCTCCAAGGTACCACGGTGATGTTAGAGATGATCTGATCGATGCACTGAGGTGACAAGTCCTCCTCGGTGATGGCGAGACCGTAAACTTGCGCGTAAAGTTTCGCCGTGACCACGACGCAGTCAACATGTCTGCGAATATTATTTAGCGTTAAATATTTATTATTTAATTAAAGCATTAATTTGTTAGGGACTCTTGGTGCGAATGCCTGCTAAATAACGAGTGAGAAAATTGCACTGCTCAACCTAAAAAAACTCGCCTGCTTGGATATTATTTAGCGTTAATCATTTATTCAATTAAAGCATTAACTTGTTAGCGACTCGCGGTGCGAACGCCTGCTAAATGACGAGCGAGAAATTGCACTGCTCAACCTAAAAACAACTCTTCTGCTCGGATTTAAAAACTGTAAACTTGGGCGTATAGTTTCGCCGTGACCACGAACAACGCAGTCGAAGTGTCTGCGAATGTTTAGCGTTAATTACGCAACTTTTAATTAACAACGTCTGCTAAATCGCTAGTTGGAAAGCCGCACTGCTCAATCTCAAAAACACCTGGTCAAATTTTACATGTACTACGATGACGCGAGGCAAGTGAGTTCACATTTGCATTCGCGCTGCTTTATTGATTCTTATTTTTTTTTAAACTTACAGAGAGTTGCAGATGTCAAACTGAATGTGCGACGGCGGTCGCTTCGGCGACTGCCAAAACAACGAGCCATCCCTCAACTTGGTGTCAAGAGGAAACGCATGTCTGAGGTGCTTCGCCTGCAAGGTAACGGAACCTCATCACAAACAAGGAGTGAATGGAGAAGGGAGAAAATAACTAGCTTCTAAAAACCTCTACCATACAAACCACGAACTGCATGCTGCGCATTATCGGCAAGATAAATCACGCACAGTGGCCTAAAACATTGCTTCAAACTTTTACCAATAACCGAATTCATAAAAAAATTCCATTTAGAATTCCATTACCATTTAGAAACAAAATCGCACTACTAGAATGCAAACCCACTAGAACACTAACAACTAGAAACAAAGCCACACTACTGGAACGTGCGCTCACGCCGGGACAAAACCACACTAGAATACTAACACCTACAAACAAAATCGCAGAACGAAAACCCACTAGAACACTACAAGCACAACTAGAAACAAAACCACACCACCATAACACACACACGCTCACTCCACCCTCACCCCGTGATAAAAAACAACAACAACCGCCTCGCTCCTCACCTTGTGACTGAAGTACTTCTCGAACTTGCGGCGTGCGAGCTGCAGGCAGTCGGTCCAGGCGCGTGGCCGCGAGGAGACGACCTTGACGACGTGGGGGAGGTTGTCGAGGCTGCGGCCGTCGCGGACCGCGCGCACGACCGCGTCCGGTGGGCCGTGCGACGTCCAGAACTTGTTGTACATCGCAGGCTTCATCGCGAACGAGCTCTCAAACTGCAAGATGGCGGCGGGAGGGACCTATCAGAGGCGGGGGCGGCAGCGCGGATATTATGGTTGGAGGGAGGGACCTATTGTTATGTATTACGCTATGGCCTACTTTAGGACGCGCAGGGTTACCGCGCGCAGTGGTATCCATGCAGTATGTGTGGTACGGGTGACTTCGTTGTAATAAAATAGTTCTTCTTGCAATGGCAGCCGTTCGTACTGGTTGATGTTTGAGGCAGCGGAGATTTGTTCTGACTAGTCCAGTGCCTAGACGGCCAGACTGGACGTAACACCTATCAGAGGCAGCGGTGGATAAAGCGCGGATATTATTGTCGGGGGGAGGCAGAGGCAGAGGGACAGTGCGTTACTTCATCGCGAACAACCTCTCAAACTGCAAGATGGCGGAGGGATAGACTTAACAGAGGCGGGGGTGGCCGCGCAGATATAAGGGGCGGGGGTGAGGGGAGGAGGAGGCAGCGTGGCTATTACATAACTTCATCGCGAACGAGCTCTCAAACTGCAAGATGGCGGACAGACGGACCTACCAGAGGCAGCGGTGGCTAAAGCGCGGATATTATAGGCAGGGACAGCGCATTAGTTCATCGCAAACGAGCTCTCAAACTGCAAGATGGCCGACAGACGGACCTATCAGAGGCGGCGGTGGCAGCGCGGATATTATGGGCGGGAGGAGGGGGGAGGTGGAGGCACCGCGACAGTGTCCGCGTGTTACTAAATCGCAAACTGAGTCATGGTGGAAATTGTCTATATACAGTTACAGGGCACCAGTATTACAGTAGCAAATTGAGCTGACAATGTGACAATCTTGCAGCAAACTGGACCAGAGAGCAGCAGCGACACAGTGGCACACCCAGGTAAAAACATGTACCTTGTCACGCACCCACTGTATCGTGTGCTCGATGACGGCCGGGAACGACTTGACGGTGCAGTACGGGATGTCCTGCTCTACGGGATCCTGCTGGCTGCTGTACGACTCGGTCAGGTGCGGCACGATCACCTGCGGCGGAGGATGAGGAGAGATGAAGCCATGAAGCTGACGATGAAGTCACGGCGACGGACGTCGTCAACGTTGCACCGCAGCGACGAGTGATGGCAACGTCATCAACACGTCGTCAACGTCATCATCGTCAACCCCCCACCCAATTGCCAACATTGGCCCCCTTTCGACGGTGTCACAACTTGTTTCAAGTTGTTGTAGGCTATCATCGTACGGTGTTCTACTGCGGAATGGGCCGAACAATGATACTGTTGTGTATAACTGAGAATAAACATAGTGCGACCCATTCCTCACGAAAACGAGTATTACAATGAGACTAAGACCATTCTCAAGACTTCTCGCATGTCGCCGCTTCGGAACGAACCCGCCGTTAGCGCGAACGCGCATCGCAGCGACGCAATCACGCTCTCGGACTTGGACTTCAGGTCTCCGACCATCATCGCCGACACGACCTCCCCCCCGATGACTCGTCGTCACACACCACCCGCGCGATCAGACGGCAACGACGCGACAAACAGAGCTTTCCCTAGATATCTTTCCACTACTAATTTATTATTTATCTACTCTATGACACCTGGCCGTGCACTATGCTAATTTTTCCAGGGGATGGCAGACTAGATGACTGTACGGTCTTCTACGTCATCCCTTCACTGTATTGTTTATTTATTTTTGTTAAAATCCTTATATCAATTATTTAATACTAATACTTTTCACTAATGTTGATGCAATTACTAATATTGAAAGCGATAAATAAAACTGTTATATATTTTATCCTATATCTTATATCTTCCCCGGCAACGACGACCCTCCACGTCACGAGATTCGCGCGATTTTCGGCGCACCTGCACGTGACCCTTTGCGCCGAGCGTGCCGGAGTCGAGCAGCGCCCTCTGGTTGGTGACGCAGCGTCCGTCGATGTAGCGACGCGCCTCGACGTTGTCCAGCGCGTTGACGACGACGTGCTGGCGCGTGAAGAAGTCGTCCGAGTACGTCTGCTCGCTCTGAGGGCACACTGTAAGGAGCGAGGAAGGAGAGCTCCACCCACCCCTCCCTCCTCCCTCATCCCTGCTATCCATCGATCGATCCTACCTGAGCTGCGTGCACTGGCACGGCGCCGGCTCCGCGACCACGATCACCGGAAGTGCGAGGTTGAGGAAGCTGTTCCTGTGCGTCCCCGCCGCCTCCGCCGCCGCCGCCGGCGACGCTAGCGCCACCTTGACAAGCTCGCAAGTCGCGAGGCCGGCGACGGCAGCCGTCGTCGTGGCGATGGCCGGCACAATGCGTCCGGCGATGCGTTTAGTCTTCAGGCGGTCGGCTGGCTCGATGCCGTACATGCACGCGCGAAGGTTCTGCGGAGAGATAACGCAGACGCACGCGCGGTCAGAGCGGTTCATCCGCTACGAATCCGACCCCAGATTCGGAAATCCAACACGGATTTGCAGTCCGATTTGGAATCAGATTCGGAATCAGATTCAGAATCGTCTTCAGGCGGTCGGCTGGCTCGATGCCGTACATGCACGCGCGCAAGTTCTGCGGAGAGATAACGCGGGCGCACGTGCGGCGGGGTCAGAGCGATTCATCCGCTATGAATTAGGTAGCAGTAATGGTGGTAGGTGGGATTTCTGTCCGTGAGTGCGCCAATCGGGCAAAAGGTTATTACGTTATAACGAAACTACTGCAACGAATTTCAAGAATATTCTTTATCATTTCGATTGATTCTACTGCAGATTCGACCTCGATGAAGTATATGGTATGTGTCAATATACGTCGCGGCGACGACGCAGAAACATCACTGGGTCGACCAAGGGCGTGTTTGTTTGGGACAAATCCGTCTGATCGAGATCATATGATCCTGATCCGACCAAACAAACGCAGCAGCTGTGATTGGCTGAGGCGCAGACCGCCATATTGGATACCGTTCGAATCTGCCTCGCTAGCAGGGTCGAGTTCGGTGGATCGATATCAAGTGATCCGACCAAACAAACAGTCAGATCAGCGAATCCATCGGATCGAGATCCGTGGATCCGACCAAACAAACGCGCCCCAAGTCTCACCGTCGTGCATTATGGCGACACGACTACCCCCCGATGACTCTCGGTCGTACCCACCCGCGCGACTCAACGGCACGACGCGGAAACAGAGCTTTCCTAGATATCTTTCCAGTGAATTTATCTATTTATCGTTACTCCGTAGGACCTGCCGGTACTATGCAATTTTCCAGCGGGATGGCCGACTAGTGACGTCGGTCTTCTACGTCATCCTTCACTGTATGTTTATTTTTTTTGTTAAAATCTTATATCAATTATTTATACTAATACTTTTCAGCATTGTTGTGGCATTATAATATGAAGCGGATAATAAATGTTATATTTTTATCTTATATCTCGGGGATATCGTTCCCGCAACGCGAGCCTCCACGTCAACGAGATTCGCGCGATTTTCGGCGCACCTGCACGTGCCCTTTGCGCCGAGCGTGCGGAGTCGAGCAGCGCCCTTGATTGGTGACGAAGCGTCCGTCGATCATGTGTAGCGACGCCCTCGAGTTGTCCGCGCCGGTTGCGACGAGTGCTGGCGCCCGTTGAAGAAGTGTCGAGTAGTCTGTCGCTCTGAGCGGCACATTGTATAGGAGCGGAGGAGGAGGAGACTGACGTTGCTCGCTCTGGAGACACACTGTAAGGAGCGAGGAGGAGACTGAACGCTTGCTCATCTGGAGCCACTAGTAAGTGGGAGCGAGGAAGGAGTGAGACTGAGAGCGTTGCTCGCTCTGAGGGACACGTAAGGAGCTGGGAAGGAGGAGGATCTGAACGCGTTGCTCGCTCGTTAGGCCACTGTAGGAGCGAGGAGGAAGCGAGATCTGACGCTTGTACGCTCTGAGGGCACCGACTGTAAGGAAGCGAGGAAGGAGGGATGACGTTGCCGCTTGAGGGCACACTGTAAGAAGGAGGAAGGAGGAGATGAACGCTTGGCTCGCTTGAGGCACACTGTAGGAGGCGAGGAAGGGGAGACGGAACGCTGCGCGCTCTGAGGGCACGATGTTATGGAGCGAGGAAGGAGGGACTGAACGGAACAAACGCATGCTGCTCGCTCTTGAGGGCACCTGTAAGGAGCGGAGGACAGGAGGAGATCTGAACGCTTGTTGCCTCGGGAGGGCACCACTGTAAAGGAGCGAGGAAGGAGGAGTCTGAACGCTTGCTCGCTATGGGGCACACTGTAAGAGCGAGGAAAGAGGGGATGGAACGCATTGCTCGCTCTGAGGGACATGTAAGGAAGCGGGAGGTAGGGATGAACTTGCTTCGACTCTGATGGGCACACGGCTAAGGCAGCGGGAAGGAGGTGAGACTGACGAATTGCTCGCTCTGAGGGCACAGTTGTAAGGAGCGGGAGGAGGAAGACTGACGCA